ACTGGGTCCTGTTTTCTTCTACTCCGTTCGTTCATTTTATCGTTAGCTAGGCCGTCATTTTTCACAAAAGATTTGTCAGTTGCTTCGGTGATTTGATCCTTGTTTGAAGCTGTCAAAGGTTTGCTTCCAGAAGATACTGGATCCTGCTTCACAGGAGAGTTATCAGCTGTTGTGACAGTTACTTGGGTGACTTGATCCTTGTTTCTCGTTGTCACAGGTTTGTTTCCGGCCGATACTGGTTCCTGCTTTCTTTTACTCTCTTCCGATATCTTTTCGAAGTGCTGAGCGAAAGATTTCACTTTTTTGGTGCCAGATAGTGGCCTGTCTCTGGTACTATACCTACTTGTAGTCGTTGGAGCAGGTTGCCTCAATACCACTCCGTCTGTGTTGTCAGTTTTATATTTGGCAGCACCAGGCAGTACTTTTTGTTGCAGGTCCATTGCTTCATTGCCTTTAGTTGCGTGGTTATCTAGATTCAAACTTCTTCTGCTAGTAATTCGTGTTTTCGTTGTCGTCACCATTCTTCTTAAAATGGCATCCAAATCATCAGGAGTTTCTGATTTGTGGAAGGTGAAAGTTTTACGTCTCTCATTTTTACCAGAACCTTTATCTTTAATGACATTGTCCGTGTCGATGTTTTTTGGTATAGGTGGTGGATTTGGAATAGTTTGATTATTAGCAATGTCCGCAGCTATAACTGTTTCAATAGAAGATCTAGTTTGATTGCCAACAGTGGTAAATGAAGAATCTTCTACTATTTTGAAGGACTCGTCAGAGGATTTTATGGCACTCAACTTTCCTTCTTCATTCAAGTTCTCTATGTCATTCGGAGATTTTTCAATAATTGTTATTCCAACAATTTCATTAATATTTTCAGAACTAGAAAGTCGTTTAGAGTGCTCTTCAACTTCCCTTGAATCTCCTTCCTTTGAAGTGACGTTGAGATCCAACAGATCCACGTAACTATGTTCTTCTTCGCTAAATTCTAGCGAATTTTGTGATATCGCCGATAAGTTTTGTAACGATGCAGCTGAAAGATAGTTCAAAGACATCCTTCTGATGAATTCGAGGTCGTCTTCATTCACTTCGGACAGCGGTCTTTCACTCCTTTGCTTCTTGACTTTTTCGACCAACTCCACTTCCTCAGCGGTTAATCCAAGTCTCCCTTCGTCAGCAATCGTTGATTTAGTTGATTTATTGTCTTCAATACAATCGACATCTTCTACCACAATTCCTATTATTGAATCTTCTTCAACAATGTTAATGTCTTCAACTAAGAACTTCTCAGGTATTGTTGGCAATACAGGCAATTCATTATGTCCTGTGATTGCTTCAATTGGCTTCTGATTTTCTGGATTCAGTCTATCGGCATCAACCAATGTTGAATTCGTTGATTTATTTAATTCAATGCAATTAAATGTTTCTTTTGTATTGTGATTGATGAGGGACTCGCATTCTCTTGGCATCGTATCCAAGTTGTCGAATTTTTCAATGACATTATCTTCAGTATGATTTTTTCCTTCAAGAATGTCGGTGTTTTCCAATAATATCTTCTCAGGTAGCGTTGGCAATACAGGCAATTCATTAGCTAATGTGATCACTTCAATTGGTTGCTGAAGTTTAGCATTTAGTTTCTCTTCGTCAACTATTGTTGAATTCGTTAATTTATGTTCTTCAATGCAATCAACTATTTCTTTCGCGTTGTGTTCAATAGCAGATTCCCAAAGTATTGGCATAGTATCCAAATTTTCGACTTGTTTAACCACAATATCAGTTGGTGGATTTTTTCCTTCAAGAATATCGGTGTCTTCAAGTAATAACTTCTCAGGTAGCCTTGGCAATGCAGGCAATTCATTAGTTTCTGTGATCACTTCAATTGGATGCTGAAATTTAGCATTTAGTCTCTCTTCGTCAACTATTGTAGAATTCGTTAATTTATGTTCTTCAGTGTAATCAACAATTTCTTTCGCGTTGTACTCTTTGACAGTCTCCCAAACTATTGGCAAAGTATCCAAATTTTCGACTTCTTTAACCACAATATCTTTCGCTGGATCTTCTTTAACAATGTCAATATCTTCAAATAATAACTTCTCAGGTAGGGGCGGCAATGGAGGCAATTCATTGGCTTCTGAGATCGCTTCAGTTGGTTGCTGAATTTCAGGATTTACTCGTTTTTCAAGATTCCTTGGTTTTGGAATGGGGCTAGCCTTAATTACTGGCGAGTCTTCGATAGGGTTACTTTCATGCTTAGGTTCAGACTGTTTGATAATCCCAGATATACGAGTGTGCAGATATTTCGAAAAAATATACTCCATGTCTTCATCAATACGGTCAGCACTATTTCTTCTCACTTGAACACTGTCGGATCTTGTTATATCCGTGGATTTGAAAAAATCATCAAAGGAAGAATTTTCATCTCCTTCAGAGTCACTCTCTGCTAATTTCTCCTCAACCTGATTTAGTCCATACTTTTCTTTGATTTGTTTTACCACATTTTTGTAAGTCTGTCTGTAATTCAGTGGAGTAACAACACCATATCTGTTTTCTTTCGAAATTGTTTGATAGTCGTATTCTATGGTATTGCCTGTATTAGATTCATTAGTGGTTAATTTTTTCAATTGTTTCTTCATGGGATTATATTCGTTCAAATCTTCTTCTATATCTAGATTCAGAATTTCTTCACTCTCTAGTTGTCTTGAAATATCTGTTCTGTTTCTTATATCTCCATCTCCATTTTCTTGCAAAATAACTTGATCAACAATGCTTGTCGCCCTATCTCCATCAGATTCAGAAACATCTCTCGCCATATCATCTTTTTTACCATCAACAATCTCAACTTTATCCTCAAGGATTTTCTCATTAACAAATTGATAATTTTCAATTGATGCATCATGTTGATCAAACGACTCAACTTCATCAGATTGACAATAATATTTGATTTCGTCCTCCTTTTCATTACTTGACGAAATCTTTTCACTTTCAACTTGGCGCTTATTGATGGTCGCATTGTATGTTAAAGAATCATATTGACCAGAATGTGCTCGCTCAAGCTGATTCATCTTCTTCAGCTCATCTGGCACTAAATTATCTTTTGTTTTATCTTCATTTACATCTGCGAAACTTGTGGGAACAACTACAATATATTCTTCATGTTCATTACTTATTTTACGCATTGCATCAGTTTCCCTCAGGTCTGAAGGTTCCTTTACAACTGTGTCGGTTTTTGAGTACTTTTTTCTGTAGTCGACAGTTTCATTATATCTCAAAGAATCGAATTTATCATTGATGTCAAGTGACTTTGAAAGACAGACCTCAGATTTATCAAGGTTCAACTCGGTAGAAACTTTATTCTTCATAGTAGCTTTTCTAATTTTCTCTTGCAGCAAGTCTATTTTCAATATCACTGGTGAATTCTTATCGGTATAACTTTCTGTACGTTTTTTTCCCGCTTCATCCGATTGCTTCTTGTCCATACTATCATCAAATTTCTCTCTATTCAGAGCTGACAAATCCTTCAACTTCGCACTTTTGAAAGCTTGCGAGTCGTAGGGCCCAGTCATCCCTGTATCCAAATTGAACTCAGCACTTGAAAAGGTATCAGTAGAAGAGTCTGAGCACCTGCTAGGTTGAATTTCAGTCGACACGGTATCATTGTCAAACACAAAGTTGATATCATCGAAGCTCTTGCTCTGTCTCAAACCTGCTACACTCTCCTGCGGCATCGGAGTATCAGAATTTCGCCTCTGGACCAGTGAAACTTCAGGATCCAGCATCACTTCCTTAAGCTTCGGATTGTTGATAACGGACGCCAAAGTAGGCTTACTGATCGCCATTTTCTTGGCGTTTTTGATTCTCCTCAAGGTGCGTTTCTCTTCTTCCAAAGCATGCAGCAACCTCCTGGCAAACTTCTCCTCCTTGGACAACAAAAAATCAGGAGCGTCAGCAGGGATCGATCTAGCGATTGCCTCCAAAGTAGCGAAACTGACTTTGCTTTCAGTCCGGTGTACCACCACAGAAAAATCAGAGTATCTGCGTTCGGACGCCGAATCGCTCGGCGCGACGCTGGGCGCTGTCAAAACCACGTCACGCGTCAAATCCTCCGCTTCCACCGTCCTGTACAACAGGTGGCTGTCGTTCTCCAATTGGTTGACATCACCGTTGCTGTAACTGCGACCAATGACAGAGATTTTTTTAGAACTGCCTTGGAAGTGTTCACTTTTGGCTCTGGTCCTGTCAATGTCTCGTATGAGCTTCCTGACTTCAGGGGTGGCTTGTTCAAAAGCCACCATGTCATCGACAGTTTTGACCTCGGGATCGTTTATTATGCCCAAGAGCTTGGGATTGGTCAGCACAGAGTCCAGCAGGGGTTTGCTTATGGCCAGCTGGTTTTTGGGTTTCGGAGCTACGGGTTTGATCCTCAAGAAATCGTCCTCGAAAATTATTTTGAGCTTCTTGATCACTTTTTCCTCCTCGGTGAGGTTAGCTTCTGGGATGTTGTGGTCGATGTTGTAGCTCCTCAAGGATTTCAAGAGGGTCTCTTCCTCCACAGACAAGGTTTTCAATCTTTTTTCACGCGATAACTTTCTCGAAGGTTTTTTGATAGTGTCAGGCTCGCTTTTTTGCGATTTCGAACTGCTAGATTGCGTACCGGAGCTGTCTTTGCTCTGTCTAGGTTTATCTTTGGTCCTGTTGGGGCGCTTTATGAAAGCGTCCATTGCAATTTCTTCTTTTTTTACAGTGCTACCTGTTGGATTAATTTGGGGAGAAAATAAAATTGGGTAAGTTGTGTTTACAGATTGGTCACAACACAAAAGCCGTTTTACTGGAAGAAAAAAAAATCGACCTGGTAAGCACAGAATAGACAGTAACTATCGTTTTAGTCTAAAATATGCATGGTTTTTTTAGTGTGAAACAGTTCTATCCATAAATATATAACCATCTTGTTATCTATGCTAACACATACATCAAAGCTGACAGTTGATTTTTCTCGATAAACTCACCCTTCAACTTTTCGATTTCGGCTTTGAGTTGCCGTTCTCTTTCCCGACAAGATTTGTTTTCCAAAATTAGACGCTGCAATTCTTGTTGTGCCTCCGTTTTAAAATCGTTCGCTACTCTAACGGAGGTGAGCAAGTCATCTTGGAATTTTTCCCATTCTTCATTCTAATCGACGACAAAAATCGGATATTTATTCAGTAAGGAAAACGTTACAAAGAGATACTAGTAATTGATCGTAAAACAACAAGTGTGACTAAGCAGGTGACTGATAACGATTTTTCTGGTACACATACCTGTGTGTATTTATCTTATCAATTTGATTCATCTCATTTTAATCGTAGGCTTTTATCGAAATGTAAACAAAGATTTGGAGAACAAAGACAATGAACTGACCTCTTCGTCTCTCGTTTTCTTCAGCTCCTCGAATTCATGCTCCAGGTTCAAGTTTCTTCTTTCTGCTTCGCTGAGGTTTCTCTGCGTTTCCGACAGAACGGCAGAAAGCTGTCTTTTGTCTTCCAACTGACATTGACTTTGGACCTATGCAATAACACCTCCATGTGTATTGGTTTCAAAATTAATTTTTTGGATGTATAATACATAGTCACACTTCAAATGTTCAATAAAAAACCATCAATCAATATGACTGTTTCAGTGGTTAAAGTGAAATAAGAGTACCGTATTTCTGTATAAGAACTCCAGTTTTAATTCAAATGTTGTATTTATAATTTTTCATTTTCGTTATAAGTATAACAAAATGGTCTTTTTTGCAAATGAATTCGTTCCTGTTGAAAAACTAACCAATTCTCTAGTAAAGTAGCAGATTCTATCTTGCAACAGCGGATAATACTTTGAGCCCCTCCACACCACACAAAATAGTGACAGGCACACCGAGAGCTGATCTGATTTTATTGATCGCCATTTCGTACAGTGTAGACATAAAACTGAGGAGTTCCGAACGTATTTTAGATGAAACTTCCCCATTGACGAGCGCAACAACATTACCTGTAATTCGTTGAGAGCTTCTTGAAACTCTTGCAGCTGATCAGCCAAGGCATTTTTCTCCTTCTGCAATTTTTCGCATTTGTATTCGAGATCAGACTGGGTAGTTTTCGCGTTATTCCTCGTCACCTGTGAAAAAAATTGAAAACGGTCCCTAATAATCATTTTCGTAAAAATAAAACGTTGATATGCGCACCTTGCATTCTTCTCGAAGAACGGACACCTGTTCCTTCAATTTTTCGATTTCGTTTTTGCCGATGGCAAGCTGCTCTTTCAGATGCGCCACTTCCGATTCTAGACTGTCTTTCTCTTTTCTGGCATTGTCAAGAAGTTCGTCCAGTTCCGATTTGTCGCTGAGCGTCCTATCTTGTTCCAATTCTACAATCTGACAACGAAAAAATTACATTTGAAATTAGCGTTTTTCGTTGAAGATGAAAGAAAATAACAGGAGAGCTGTCGAAAACGAGCAGATCCGTATTATGTCAAACAGTCAAGCGGCACTTGAGGCAATAGGAAGCCAGGAAGTGACATTTCGACTGGTATGGGATTGCAAGAGGGAACTGAGAACTCTGGCAGACCGGAACTGCGTCCAGTTAATCTGGGTGCCAGGTCATCAGAGGATCGCTGGCAATAAGACGGCTGACGAACTTGCAAGAAGAGGGTCGGACAACGAGCCAGATCCAGGACAGACTCTTGGAGTACCAAAACGTACAGCACGAGTGTCAGTTAAAGACTGGTTTCAGGCAAAACATAAGAGCTACTAGGAAAACATCCCAAGAAACGGACATGGGAAATAATACATCAAGGAACCAAGTCATAAACAAACTGTTGACCTGCTCAACTTGAACAGAGCTTAGATAAATACTGTTACGGAACTCATGACTGGCTATGCGCCAGTAAAGAAGCATCTCGCCAGAACGGGACTGTACAATGGCGACCCAAGCTGCAGAATATATGGCAAGGAACCAGAAACAGTAGCACATATACACACAGATATGTGTGCCGATGTGAGGCATTGGACCGCAGAAGACAGAAGATCTTTGGGCAACCAGTTGGCAATCCAGAAGTATTCAACTCACATCCAGTGAAGGATTTGTACAGACTTGTTCAAGGTACAGAGATAATGGAGTGGGCACAATAAATAACTACTCTAGGTAAGATACAATGGGCCACCGTAGGCCAAGTGTCGTCGGAGACATGGTCAGACGAGCCTAAAAACGGGGAGGAGTTTTTAGTGGGTAAACCCTGACTAGTCAGGGGACTCCCACACTATCATAGATAGATAGATAGATAGATAGTTTATTCACCACTTTACGTACTGATGTACATTTATAGCATGTCATATTATTACAATTCAACTATGAATATCAATATACGAATACATAAAAATCAACACATACATTCAAGTTAAAAATAGTTATCACATGTTAGGATATAGGATATAAAATACATTATACAATACTGACAAATTAAAATTTAGTTGAAATAACGTTTTCTCCATCAATGATCGCTAGACAGATATTTGAACTGAGAAATTCATCCACTGAATAAAAACAGTAACTCAAAAGGAATCGTTTAATTTTAATTTTGAAATCGCGAACATTCAAGTGTTCAACTTCATTTGGTAGCTTGTTGTATATATCAATATGCGGAGAATTTTTTTCTGACATCACAAGTCTTTGCCTGGGTTTTTTCAGCGAATCACCTGATCTAGTAGAATACTGATGGTTAACGGTCATAAATTGATAATCCTTTTTGTTAGTGTGGATCTCGAGAAACGTGAGATAGATAAAAATTGTGGGAACTGGCATAATTTGAAATTTGCGAAAAAGTGGACGGCAATGGTCTCTGTAATTTGCACCACTCATGATTCTGACTACTTTTTTTTGTAGAACGAATATTTTGTGAGAATGACATGATCTGCCCCACAGTAATATACCATACATTATATGGCTGTGAAATAAACTATGATAGGAGGATCTGAGAACCTCTGAACTGACTAATTTCTTCATTCTACGGATCAAAAATGTAATCGAAGACAATTTTCGGCCCAACTGTTTCACATGAGCTGCCCAATTGAGTTTGTCGTCAATTACAATGCCCAGTAGTGTAACAGTTTTTCCAGACGAGATGTTAGAGTGGGATGATATCAACAATTCTTGATTTTTATCGGTGTTCAGTTTGAGTTTATTTGCAATAAACCAGTGATTGGCTTTCTCCTGACAAAGATCTACAGATTCGGACAAAGTTTGCAAATTCTTTTCAGAATTTATCAAAGTGGTGTCATCAGCAAAGAGTACACTGTTGATTGGAAGCATATGATAGAATAGATCATTAATATAGACAATGAATAGCAAGGGTCCTAGGACCGATCCTTGTGGAACACCATGTGCAATTTTAGCGAGTGATGATTGACTTCCATTCAGCATAACACATTGAGATCTCCCATCCAGATAAGATTTGAAAAACTTGAGGGGCGTCCCTCTGATACCGTTTGATTCAAGTTGTTTTTTCAACAGAATATCGTGAGAGACACAGTCGAAGGCCTTAGACAAGTCACACAAGGTGATCACCGAGTGTTTGCCTTCCTCAAGACCTTCAACTATGTCTCTGATTACACGCATAATGGCTTTGATTGTAGAATTATGTTTTCTGAAACCGAATTGACCAACACACAACAAAGAATTCGACTCCAAATATGGAGACAATCTATTTTTCACGATGATTTCAATTACTTTAGCAAGAACAGGTATAATAGAAATTGGTCTGAAGTTTTCGACGCATGATGGGTCTCCTTTCTTGAATAAGGGCAAAACAATGGAAGTTTTCAATGCATCTGGGAATACTCCTAATTCAAAACATTCATTAATGATCATTGAAAGTGGATGGGCTATTATATCTGCTACCTCTTTGAGTATACAGGGTGTTTCAAAAAAACCTGACCCCCTTGCTAGGGTTGGTAGAACATTGCAAAATAAGTTGGGTTTGCTCAGTAAAAAAATGTCGTAACGCCATCCGTTTTCAAGATACAAGGTGTTGAAACAATATTTTTTTTACACATTTTTCACGATTATGTTGAAACTACTGGCAACATTGTGATGAAATTTTGTATGGAAGTTTCTTGGATTCTGACACATCGCATGCATTTGTTTTTATATCTGACTCTCATAGAGGGCGGTAGTTACACGGTTCGTAGCGAGTAGTTTTGAACATAACTTTTTTGAGGTTAGATTTTTCAATCCAAATTTGATGTGAACTTGAACATCATTTAATTTCACACCAAAAAGGTATTCTTGGTAAAACTCGATACTGTGTTCCGTTTTCGGAATATTTCGATTCGAAAATGATGAAGTGGTAACTGTTACTGGTATAAAGCTATGTATTAGAGTGAGTGTTATGGAAAATTATCACCTATTTATTGAAAACCGAAAACAACAATACATTTCTGATGCAAAACTCATTTGATTCAACAATGAATCACAAGAATAACATCGAAACAGATTTGACTAAGAACATGGATTACACAGTTTTGTTGTATCTTGAGCAGAAAGTCTATGTTACATAGGTAAATTCACGTCGAGAGTTGTGAGACATAATTGAACATCACATAAATGACCTAACAGCTGATCCCCAACTGTTAAGAAGAATAATACATTTTCAAAAAAAGAATATAGAATCGTGTATTCCTCGAAACGTAGGAAATTTTGAACACATACTCCAACTGAAATATTGATTTCATATTTCTAGTCAAATATCTCTTACTTTTCTACTTATGATTCTTTGTTCCACCAATAACTTCACCACAAGAATAATTTTATTGTTTTCAAACCTGAATAAATAGGTAATTGAACTCAATAAAATTCATTTTATATCAGCATCATTACTACTCCATTATTTTCAAATCGAAATATTACGAAAACGGAACATAGTATCGAGTTTCAGCAGGAGTACCTTTTTGGTGTGAAATTGAATGATGTTCAAGTTGATATCATATTTGGATTGATAAATCTAACCTCAAAAAAGTTATGTTCAAAACTACTCGGTACGAACCGTGTAACTAGCGCCCTCTATGAGAGTCAGATATAAAAACAAATTCATGCGATGTGTCAGATTTCAAGAAAGATCCAAACGAAATTTCATTACAATGTTGCCAGTAGTTTTGGAATAATCGTGAAAAAGGTGTAAAAAAATTATTTTTTCAACACCTTGTATCATGAAAACGGATGCCGTTACGACATTTTTTCACTGAGCAAACCCAACTTATTTGGCAATGTTCTACCTGCCCTAACAAGGGGGTTAGGTTTTTTTGGAACACCCTGTATAAGAGTTCAATTTAAAGATATCTTGACAGTAAGAATTTTTTATAGAAAATATAGTTTCCTTGACTTCCTGAGGTGTAACTGGCGATAGAAAAAGAGGGAAAAAAAACAGGACAGAACCCATAGGATTTAAACCACCCCGACAAAAAAACTACTACAGTGTCGAATGCTTCACATAGATCCAAGGACAAGAAGCTGCAAGAAGAAACGCTCACCTTCGTCCTGGCGTTATCCAACAAATCCTTCAACCGATTCACCTCGATCTGCCGCCCATTCAATTGATCCCTCGCCCGCGTCAACTCCCCCTCCCACTCCTTGATCTCCGCCTGCTTGGCCGTCAACGCGCTCTCCAGAGTGCGCACGCGCTCTCGCGACCGCTCCAACGCGCCCTCCTGCGCCGCGGCGCCTTCGCTGGCTTCGCGACGCTCGCCGTCGAGGCGGTCGACTTGCTGCGCCAGAGATTCGCGTTCTTCTTGGACGGTTTTGAGGAGGTCGACGAGTTTCTGTTCGCGTTCGGCGGCCACCTACAAAAAATACTTGGGAATGAGGAAGTTTTTTTCATTGTGAAATTTAGGAAAAATTAATATATTCGTAAATCTCTGGTGGTAGTCCATGCTCAAATTGGAGGTGATAAGATGATTAAAAGAACAAACTCAAAGTCTCACTTCAAGTAAATTTTAATAAAATACAATACGTGGTACATGTTTCGACTCCTAGGGCTAAAATACAAAAAACTTATAAATAAAAGAAGTTCCATCACTATTGGAAAATGGGTGACATACCTTGCTAGGTAGGAGGAGGAAATAAAACTAAAATTAATAACATGGTTCACAAGGGTTTTAGGTCCCAAATCATTTTAAAAAACATTTTTGAATTCATTATTATTTATTTATTTATTTATTGAACAAATAACTTCCAGACAGAATAGGCTCTGGTATAAGGAAGTACATAATTATATACCTATAGGTAAACATATAATCATTCAAAAAATATCAACAACTGTAAATTGGCAAAGAATAATATTTGTAAAAAAAAATGGCATGATTAATTTTATCCAGTCCGCTCAGAAATAATCAGTTTTTTTACTTAATTTTTGAATATACCTATATTTCTGCAATTTTTTATATTATCAGGTAGTTTATTGAATTCAGTGAAGGCTGAATGAGTGAATCTTTTTTGTCCGATTAGGGAGCTAGCGGCGTCAAGATGGAACAAGTTATATTGTCTAGTTTCATGATTATGAATTTCAGAATTCCGTATCAAAATATTCGACTTCAATTTTTTATTTATGATATTATATGATATTTTGAGAGTTTCAATTCTATATATTCCATCTAAAGAATACGTATTTGTTATTTCATACAATTGATTGGTTGGTGTATCAAATGGGAGACGATACAATACTTTTAACGATTTTCTATATAATGTTGATATTTTATTGAACCCCCAGATAAATATTTCTCTCAACTCAAGATGCTTCTTTTTTGTATCAATCAGGTGTAATATACAGGGTGTTTCAAAATTCAGTATCAAGATTTTAGGGGCGTATTTTTCAGGTCAAAATAAGACGTTTTTGTCCATAAACATGTGTCCGCAAACGCTTCGTTACCGATCTACAGAGCGTTAAAGTTTCAAGATTTTTTTTATTTTTTTCTTCATAGCTCTTTCAATTTTTGAGATATTAAGATCAAATTTGGAATGTAGGTTACGTTCTAGGGCTTACATCATCCAGCATGCCGAGTGATTGTGAGAATCTACAGGGAGATATTTTTTTCAGGGGTCAAGCCCTTTTTTACCCCATAAACTTTTTTGTGGTGCGCCGCTGGTGAATTCTGAGAAACGAAATGAATTCTTTGTTTTGTTTATAAATTTTTTTGTCTCTTGTAATTTTCACGCATCTGCGATCGTTATCGAGAAAAAAGTAAAATCAATTTTTGTGATTCGCTACATTTAATTAAAATTTTCAACGGAACAATGAAAAAGCGAATTAGTGGGCTTTGACTGCTATTTTCATTTTGACGTTTAGGTTTGTTTTGAAGCATTTGACATTATTTGAAAGTTGGTGGATGTCTCATCGTGTATTTGTTTAACTTTAACGCTCTGTAGATCGGTAACGAAGCGTTTGCGGACACATGTTTATGGGCAAAAACGTCTTATTTTGACCTGAAAAATACGCCCCTAAAATCTTGATACTGAATTTTGAAACACCCTGTATATGATATCATTAACCATAGAGAGTAGAGATATAATAAAATGGACTCATTCAAAGACAAAATTATTACAAACTTGTAACTAAAAGTGCCGGAGCACATGGAGACCGGGTATCACAAAAAGCTAGGTACATAAAAACAATTCATTTTCTCACCTGAATTTCGACCAGGCCACAAACACGAAGAATTTCCCCAGAGGTTCGAATCCCGTTTATTTGAAATAAGAGTGAAATTTTAAGCACTTTCGGAAAGAGGCGTGATGTTACTCCACCTGAATCATGAAAATTGCGAGATCTCCGCCAACGTGTTCTCTCAGCAGAGGTAGCATTTTCGCTGTCTATCAAGGTTCATCTCATGTCCATGGTGAAATATCATAATAAAAACGTTGATCCCTCAATAACGTATTTTTATTTCGAAGTCGAACGCCCTACCCTTCCTACTAAGTATGCAACCCAGAGATAAGTATTTCCGAGATTCACGAAGTGGGTGACATCTAGGTTACTTAATACGAACTTCAAACTGGGGGAAAACAATCTGTTGTCTATGAATGAAGTGCATAGACTACGTTGCATTCAGATTGCTGTAGCTGTAATCAAACTTGTCAATGACATAAAGTGTTGGCACTGTTGGTAGTGATGATGGTTGAGTTGGTTGATTTTTTTACATTATTAAATTTTTATTAGTTTAGTGAACAGTGCAGAGGTGAAGAATTGGAGATATTTCAAACAATTCAAACTAATTATGACGAGCCAATCAATTGACATATAAAAGAACAGCTACAACATGTTTTCAATATCCAGATTGTCCAACTTTAGATTTCATCGCCGAAGTTTGTAGACAAAGTACAAAAATGTGCCTTTTGTTGAAGTCTTCTGCCTCACACAAAATCACATGATTAGCACTGAGAACTGTTTCTCCTTCCACTACCGGTCGGCTTTTTCCATCTGAATAAAGCAAAATATCTGCCAAAAGAACATCTCCAACAGGACAATTAATGTCAAGAAATTCAAAAACTTGAGTTTGTTTTCCCCCAGTTTTGACATGGAACGATGAAAACCGAGCGCCACCTGGTGACATTGATTCCCGCGAATAGTGATGTCCGGGTTGCGAGGATCTTGCAGAGCTGCAGGTTCCTTCTCAGGCGGAGAACACAAGCTATTAGAATTTGGTCAGTTTTTAAATAAAGGCGCGAGCGGTATGATTGCGATCACATTGCGATATGGGACTGTGATTGAAAATGTCGCGCTACAAAATACACATCTCCCCTTTGGACTGCCGGTAGGTTGGTTCGATTCTCACCACGACCGCAAAAAAAATTCTGATGGCCCAAGGAATTGTTTGAGATCACACGTTGAAAAGAAAGACCTCCGTCATTCCTTGGTCGCACAAGTCTCGCGAAGACTCTTTAGGGTTGCTCATAAGGGGGGAAACCGAATGATGGATAAGAACAATTTTAGAACAATTACCTCGAAATCGCCGCGGTCCTTTTCCTGATAGAGGTGCTGCTTCAACGATTCCAACTCGTTCCTGGAATCGTTTAGTCTCTCCGTCTGCCGGCACAGACTGTCAAACATCAGCGTCTTCTCCTCGTTCAGTCGTTCGTTTTCCTGTCTCAGCTCGGTGAGCTGCATCTGCAGGTCGGTGAGCTCTTGGAGCGTGGCCTGCAGTTCCTCATTGGTGCTGAAGGAAAATCAAAGGTAAAGCTCTAGTCGACACTTTTTTATTCTGTTTTTGGCGTAATACACTTCTAACCAAAATCTACCAAGAACTCAACCGTCGTAAAGCAAATGGTGAAAATGTGAAGCTGAAATTTGCATTTGGTATGCCCACTATAGTCCCTATATCAGCTTCCCAGAAGAGAACGCGTGAAGAAGAACAATCCCTAAATATCCCTAAATATCAACCCAACCAAAGTGAACAGAGCTGCTTCGTCAATCTCAGAATATTCCCTGCCTTCAGAGTGTCGATTCATTGATTGTTGCACTTAAAAATATCACTATAACTCAAGCTATAACTATTGCTACTTATATTTGGAATATTCTTAAGCTTCGTTCATTCATCCTTACCGAATAACATAATAAAATATATAGCTTCCCTTCATAACATTATAGCGAAAAAGAGTCCAAATTTCATGATACTGGAAAGACCCATTATTGAGTTAAGATTATGAAATTTGCAGGAGTGAAAGATATACCGAAAATACACAATATGACAAAGTGGGGCCATCTTCAGTGATATACACTGCTCGCCAACAGCCATGGAACCATCCACATCTCCGTAAAATGATATTAGGAGGCAAGATAGGATGAAAATCACGGTAAAACTGCATTTAGCATGCGATGGGTTTTTTTTTCAAAAAAAAATTTTGGTACTTACGTATTTTTGTCTGAAAAACACGAATTTGATAATGAAAATGTGAAGAAACCATTATTTATCAAGATATTTCACTATAAATTTACAAATTTCACCTGCTTTTCTGCCTCTGGATTGCATTTAAAACAATTTACCCTTCTTTTTTCATCATTGGACAATTTATATATATCACAATGTAAGACACATTTTTTTCTATTATTGAGTCAACTAGAAATATGATTTACTTGTGATTTATCCATATTTAGTGAAAAGAAGGAAGGATATCATTTAAAATAATAGCGTGTGTAATGCTATTCAAAAGAACTCTGTTGACAACTCGTATTTGGATTGACTATTAATTAAATGGCCGTCATTTGGTATGCTTGTTCACTAAATATGAAAAACTCGCCATAAAAATCATATTTCCAGTTGAATTTTCTGTATAAAAATGTGTCATTGAAGTACATCATGAGTATATAAAGTGTTCAAAGACAAAATAAGAAGAGCAAGTACCTGTAAATGCACCCAACACAAGGGGAAAAAGGAGTCGAAATTTCGAACTTTTTTTTGAACTATCTCGATAAATAGTGGTTTGTTCACATTATCATTGTCAAATTCGTGTTTTTCAGACAAAAATACGTAAGTACCAAAAAAATTTTCGAAAAAAAACCCATCGCATGCTAAATGCAGTTTTACCAAAATCACTTATCAGAATTTTTGAAAATTTTGATAGATAATGCTCCACATTTTCAACATAAAATAATTTTTTCTCATACAAAAATACCTATTTAAAAATAAATGGGAACAAGAACCCATCCCTTTCCAGGTAAACAAAACTCGAGGCAAAACCCCTTCAATATCCCAAAAATATTGAAAAAAATATCCAAAATTGATGTACTAACCTGTAATGTGTCTCCTGCATCTGATTTATTTTGTCCTGCAGGCATGCAACAGAAACTTCACTGATATTACCGGAGGAATGCTTGTCCCAATCGGGGGTCGTACAAGTAGTATCACCACCATTTCCCTCATCAAGAATCTAAAAACAAATTGGGAATCAAAGCCAAAAAAAACATTATTTTGATATAAAAGTGAGAACAATTTGTTTATCAGTAGGTCACTCTCCTCTTCACAAAATTAAATTCAAATGTCATCTCAAATGTCACCATCAGTTTGAAACGAAAATAGCTACTAATTTTGGCAGTGTCTAGTACAACAACAAAGCAGAATTTTAATAGACGGAAAAATGTTGATAATTGGTTTTTGCTTTTTTATGTCATACACTCTGATTGGTGATGGCGCGTTCAGGAAATATTTGATGTGATGTAGAGTCACTGGATGGTATTATCAGAGATTAGTCAACCACAATATCTTCTTCTTCTTCTTCTCCTATTTGGGTTAATTAGAGTTCTGTCTCCTTTTGGTAACAAATTCTCCAGATCAGGTAATTATTTTTTTCACTGGACTCGCTAAAACACCGATTGTCTATCACAATGGCCTGAATCTAAGTCATAGTGTTCAAAAGATTTGATGGTATGTACTGCTCTTATCCAGCAAATCTGTTGCTGATCCGGCCTGGCTACCGGCGTAGACATAATGGAGCACGTTTGACTTCAAGTATGGCCCCCTTATCCGTTGAATCCGTCATCACCCGGCCTCTATACCGGCGTAGAGATCAAAGAGCCTGATATTTCTCACACACACTTATTAAAGTTCACATTGAATATTGGATTTCAATCCAGATCAGGTAATTACACAATTTTTGAACTTGCGCACACATTAACCTGACTTTTGGCCTGGAGACGCCATGTTTCTCCTACCGTGGCCAAAAGTCGAATCATCCAATGTCTGGTATCAGTTAGATAAGAATTTGCTCGGACACAGAAATGACAACTGTTAGTGTTCTTGAACATACATATAATTCAATGTTCGACGTGGCACCTTTGACGTGGCAAATAGCCAGGAACGTAGTTATTTTCTGTTGAATAATCAGAATATTATGTGCGTGCATATACATACAGGGTGTTTGAAAATTATGCGCAAAAAATCAAGGGGGTGACTCTGCATGAGAAAACATGAAATTCATTTTACATACATGTGGGTCCGGAAATGCATAGTTATCAATCAAGATACACAGTGTATTAAACTTTAAAAAAATATATATATTTTTATGAATATCTCGAATATCCTTTCACCGATTCTCTTGAAATTTGGCAATGATATTCTTTTTCATGAGTTGCTGATTTACCCATAACCTAATTGGAATTCTGAATTCCAGTAGCGTCACGGGGACACCCTAGCGAATATTATTGTCAATAAAATATGCGCCACTGATATTTCTGAAATGTATATCTTCATATCCTATTGATCAACTAGAAATACAAGATTTTGGTCTCCTGAATTGTTTTGATATTTTGCTTCGATTCCGTGGAAAAAAATAAATACCAATTTATTGTATGAATTTGTGCAAAACATTCCTTCAAAAACAGGGGTGAAAATAAATGTGTGATCCATGTCCATAGACATAGAATAAGAATGAAGATTCATTTTTCCCAATATTTCATAATACATGTTTGACACACTTTGTATTATCGAAAACTACTCCTTCCTGGACTGTGAATACATATCTCAATATACGGAGTGTAGAGTGTGTTAAACATGTATCATGAGATATTTGAAGAAAATGTATCATCATTCTTATTCTATGTCTATGGAAATGGATCCCGCATTCATTTTCACCCCATTTTGTGATGGAATTTTTTGGCACAAATTTATGCAATAAATTGGTATTCATTTTTTTCCATGAAAATGAAGCAAAATATCAAAACAATTCAAGAACCAAAAATGTTGTATTCTTAGTTGGAAAATAGGTTATGAAAATAAAGATTTCAAAAGACCAGTGGCGCACATTTTATTGACAATAATATTCGGTAGGTTGCCCCCGGGACGCCACTGGATTTCATAATTCAAATTGAATTATAGCTATATCAGCACCTCATGACAAAAAATATCATTGTCAAATTTGAAGAAAATCGGTCGAAGAACATCTGAGATATTCATAAAAAAAACGATTTTTTTTAAATTTCAACACATTGTATGTTGAAAACTTGAGAGCTATGCATTTCCGGACCCACGTACATATGAATATGAAATGAATTTCTTATTTTATCATGTAGAATCACCCCCTTGATTTTTTGATTAATATGAAGGAGAATACAAATTATATACTTCAGAGGATTTTGTTTAATTCAATGTTCATCGTCGTGGCATATAGCAAGGAAAGTAGTTGTTTTCTGTTGAATAAACCGAGAAAGAATCGATATTTTCATCACATAGAGAATGTGAATTCTCAATGTATTTCTTCATTTAAATATCCATTTTATGATGTTCATAAATATGTCTGAAAATATCTTTTTAATACTTTCGCCCAATCAAGGTTTTTTTTCTCATATATCATGTATACATTGATATTATATATTGTGGAAATAAATATTATTATTATTATTATTATTATTTAACTTGAACGATGGAAACTTCACATTTATTATTTACATAGACCTTCAATCACAGATTCGTGATTAGGTTTTCTCAATTCAGAATTTCTTTCTAGTCCTGTATGATGAATATCAATCCGTCATACATTCAAAAACATCAGAATATATCAATGCCTTTTTGCCTTATTCTTTTATTCACTCAAACCATTGTGATATAGAAAATAGAGAAGGACAAAAGTTCAGATGTGCCTGAACTCTTATCCACTAATAACATCCAGTGACTCTAATGTGATGAAGTTAAAATACTCAAAGTTTTTGGCATTGCTGCTTTGTGCCAAGACATCTCTTTTATTTTCGGCGTTGAGCTTTAGTTGAGGTTATGTTCTGGAAACATTTTTATCTATTTATTTCAGCAGGAAGTTTTTCAGGAGAAATTAAAAATTTTATAATTCTTAGAGCTGATCTCATTAGTTAATGATTGTAATATCACTGTACTACAGTCAGATGTTCTCATGTTTTTCAATGCAAACTCCATTAAAAATGCAATTTGACAAAAATATACAAAATGACGCCATCAAAACGGCATACAAAAGTAATTTCAAGTTACTCTTGGTAACTCTTCATGGTATTTTAAATTGGACTTTTTTTTCTGCTATTTACATGGAGTTTGTTTAAATTGGTTAACAATGTATAGACTCAATAAGACTTAAAAAAAAATGGAATGCAAAAGAAAAATCTTGGAGAAAATGGTAGGTATTGATCTGTGTGTGAATCATATCAATGCCAAACTGTAATTACTAAAAATCCACTCACATTTGTTGCAATGGATGCAGGTGCAGAATTATGATGCCTATGAGACTCAAACAACAACTGCTGTTTTTCATTGTCAGATAAAGGAGAATGGGCAACATCTCTCAATCTATTTCTTAAAGCAGTGTTGTCTTCAGCCAACTTCTCCAATTGGAGATTACATTCTTCCTGTAGAGACTAAAAACATAAAGAAACAAAGTCAAATTTCGTCTCACAGGACACAAGTGGGTAATTTTCCACTTTTAGCATATATGATGGTTTCTTTTTTCCAAAGATATTTTTTGTTACTAAGTATTTTTGTCTGAGGAATAAGAATTTCATTATTTAACAAGATATTTCCTGGGATAATTCACTACAAAGTAACAAATGTTCCCTTCTTCTCTGCCTGTCATTTGGATTGCATTTAGAACAGTTTGCCCTTATAAATTAGGATGTACTCCAATGACTATTTTTTTTATTTATGAAAGTCATCTAGAAATATGATTTTCTTGTCATTTATCCATATTTAATGAAAAGAAGGAAGAATATCATTCAAAATAATGGCATGTGTAATGTCATTCAAAAGCTACATCCTGTTCAAAAGCAATCTATTCACATTTGACATCTAGTATATGGATTGACTATTGATTAAATGATTATTCACTAAATATGAAAAATTCACAATAAAAGTCATATTTCCTATTGAATTTTCTATATGAAAATGTGTCATTGATGTACATCATAAGTATATAAAGTGTCCACCGACAAAATAAGAAGAGGAAGTAGCTGCATACAAGGCAGGGGAAAAAAGAAGGCAAAACTTCATTTTTTTTATCCTGATAAATAGTGGTTTGTTCACATTTTCATTATCAAATTCCTGTTATTCAGGCAATAATAGTCAGGTAACAAATAATAAAAAAAAACATCCCTTGATAACTGTAAAATTAGCCACAAGCATTAAGAAACTTGTGTATACCTTGAGTTTCGAGTTTTCTTTTTGCAAAAAATTAACTTGACCATTCTTTTCTCCAAGCTGCAAAGCCAAATTAGTTTTTTCCTGTGCCATTTCTTGAAGCTGCCTTTTCAACTGTTGAATGTCTTCTTCAATTGTTGAATCCAAAGAAAGAAATGGCGTTTCATTACCTTCTAGTTTGTTATTGTTTTTAGTGAGTCCTGAAAGAATTGTTCAATAACACCTACAAGGAAGAAGTTAACAGAAGTACTGACCCTTTTTATCATTTTTCCTGGAGTCCACAATCTTGTCAATTCTGTCCCTTGAGGAGCTTTTTCTCGGTTTGGCCCCCTTGCTGCTCCTTTGCTCTGCTTCTAAGTTGGTGACAGAGGAGGTTCTTGACAAATCATCCCCTTCTAGCTTGGGGTTCTGTCCTCTACGAAATATAGCTTTGAAACTCTTCATTGTCTGTTTTGCTTAGAGTTTTGGTAGATTTCGAAACAGTTCAAGCACTTTGGGTAAATTTTACCACTTGTTAGTTATATACCAGCTGCATTTGGTTCTGCTGAGACTGAGACTACCATGAAGAAATGTTTAGCAGTGCACTCATTTTATCTTTATCACTTATCAGTGATCTAATTCAATACACACATGAATGTAATCATTTTATAAATACAACAAAAATATTGAGGGTGTGAACTGTGAAGCTGTGGGAGGCTAAATTACAAATTGTGATCTATGAGGATATGAAATACTGTTCTAGTGTGGTACTAGTCACGGCCAACAAAATGAAAAGGTAAAAATGTAAAAATGATAAAAATTATGGAGAGCTGACTTTCTTATCTCTTCACCATCTCTAAACAATTGAATATAAACGTCACCTTATAATTACACTAGCATTCCTTTGAAAAAAAAACTCGGTTGATCAGAATTAGATAACACCTTGTTTTCTACAATTCTACAGGACAGCTGCCGAGCTAGCCAAGCTTTAATGAAATAGGTTTCCGAATTGTGCTGTCGATAACAATAATGAGTGCACCAATAAACTGAATATTCAACAGAGCATCAAATCAAGTTCATTCGCGAAAGTAGGTAGGTAGTTCAAGCAGCTTGTAGCAACAACGAATCGACTTCTACAAGTTTTATACATTTGTGTTCTTCATACACCCAACAAACACGTTTCACAGGGATACACCATTCACTAGGCAAGCATTTATAGAAAAAAATCCACGAAAAATACGCGTTGTTTCAACTTTCTTCGTTGATCTTGGTTGAGAATAAAATGGAGACTAAAAACAAAAACAAAACACAGGCGTGTCACACGCTAAACGCGACAACCACCTTGCAGTCCTTGCACGGCTCACTTGCAGTGTTGCCAGATGAAAATTTGCCGGAGCAGTAGATGGGTAGGGAAAAATCAGTAGATAAATACCATAGATTATCGATACTGAACAGTAGATTTCAATAATCATTATAATTTGCTGCTATAAATAAAAAAGAACTCGTAAAAACCTAAAGGTATAAAAAACGAAAAAATAAGGATTTCATACCTAAAAAAAAAAAATTAAACAAAGAATAGCAACAAATGATAAAATTGAAAACAAAATTAGTAATAACAGCAAGCTAGAGTCAGTAAAAAATACTTGACACTGCTGTTTTGACGTTTGCTGAAGAATGAGGCAAACCATAATAAATAATGAAGAACAAAATTTGCCAAGTTGTGAAAAATTAGTGAATTGTCTAATTTCTACGACCACTTCTGTGAAATTTTATCATTTTCAAATTTCGATCTCGGTTTACTGAACAAAACAGTAGGTTTCATGCTTTAAACAAAACAGTAGATCGAGACAAAAATAGTAGATCTACTAACAAAACAGTAAGTCTGGCAACGCTGCTCACTTGATAGTTGATTTCGAAAAGCGCGTTCCAGTTCCAGAAACTGTCAGCAACGACCGTTGGTGGGGGCGCCACGAACTATAATCAAACAGTGGCGTATCATAGACGCATTACCAAATTCCTTTTGAATTTGGATTGGATTTGGATTTTTATGCAGTTTTCATATTATAGAGGGTGTTCCGTATAGACCATGTCAAACTAATGGAGAATGTAGGTCATTGAAATTCCATGAAAACATTGTAACATTGAAATGAAACAGGAAAGTGTACAAATAATGTATCAATTGGATCAAAATGTTCCGACTTTTGCAATGGGGAATTTTCATAATCTAGATTTTCCATCAGTTGGACATGCATGGTCTTTAAGGGCACCTCACATTTTTCTCTGAATTGATTAAATGAGTTTCTTTGAATAGTTTCCGTGTTTTACGTGGAAATTGTATTTGCGAATATCTATATTATGTTTACCCGATTGTTTACCTTATAGAAGTCACATTAGATTTCGAAGGTAAAGACGAAGATCTGTTCTTTCTCAATTCTACATCAGTGGACTTGGAAACTGCAGATGAAACCTTCACCTGCAAGCCGTTCGATATATAAATATAGACTAGACCAAAAATACACAATTCTCATTTATACCAATTTACCTTTTTGGTGATTTTTGGGGATATCCGAAACCAAGGTCTTCTTTCCTTGGGTTTAGCGTCAATTGGACGAACAGAATCTTGAGATTTTTTCACATGGTCTCGTTTGGGAACGGACTCATCTTTTGAAGAAGATGCTCCCAGATCGCCTTGTATATTCCTCGAGAAACCGAAAGTAGAAGAATTCGTTCGACTGGTTGGTAAAAAAAAAACATTGATTTTATGTATATCATACCTATTGTGAGTTATCGAGAATATAAAAATGATGGAAAATCATCTATAGGTTTTCTACGACCTATCCAAGAAACGAATAGAACTTACTTTTCCTTATCGGTTTCAGATGTTCTTTTTGATGATTCCTTTGTCAGGACAGACTTGATAGGACGGCTCCTGTTTTTCTCTGTCTGCAAGGAAATTAGTTTGTTATAAGTTTTGACCTATCAACTTTTTGCAGAATGTTTCTTTTTATTCTTGACAAGATTCGCAATTTCATGAAATTTAAAACCCCATAATATGTTTCATTTCTAAAGCAAATCCTTGAGAAATTGATCACTGAGGAACAGAAAGTCACTCGCATCCATACCTTTTTGGCAAACATTTCTTCCAGCAACCCCATTTAAGATCACAATATAAAAGCTTACGCCACACCTCTACAATACAAAAAACAACCCAGCAAAAACGGTGTCATCGGAAATTCCTGGAACTTGACTTTTCTATAAACGACATCACTTTATTGTGGTCTACACTACTACAAAAGTCGAATGTTTTATCTTATCTAAATATACTTATCTTTATAACAATTTATAGAAGGATATAAACTCTGATATAAATAATAACAACTATAAGACGGCACAAGTGGCACAAATAGGAATCAATACAGGATTCATATATAGATAGACTATACAGGGTGTCCCCCGGAACCGGCGGAGCCTTAAGCCAACGGATAAATGGATTAATATGACAGTTTATGGATTAGATATTCCATAAACTGTGTTAATATTGCGTGTAGTAGGTACCTATGAGTGATGACTGCCGTTTCAATCAATCATTAAAGACAAAATTGATATATATATTTTTTCTATACGAATTCCAAGAAGGGATAATGAAATAAACTTATGTATGAAGACGTCAAAACATTAGGTGCTTCTCGATGAACTTATAATAGTAAACAGAGAAGTAACCTATTTCCAACAAAATAGAAACAAGCATTCTCGTAAAGAAAATCATATTCCTAATTCTCAATTTGAAAATATTCAAGAATATCACAAAATACAGTCGTTACATATAGGTACATCAGATATGAGTTAATAAAAAATTGGAACGAATAGTAAAAATGAAAAACAAAAATACAAAAAAAATAAAAAAGTAAACGTAAGAAATAAACTGTTCAGAGGTATATAAAGAGTTGAATTTGATCTGAATCAGATGAAGTATTGTCTTTTTTGGTTTATACATATCATTAGTACCCAAGTTAGGACCTATATGCAATTTTGTAAACTCAATTCAAACAGAGCGTGCCGAAGTAATATATCATCATCAATTTATAAGTATATGTGATTAACTAAAGATTAATAATAATATAGATAATTATAATAATAAATAAGTGTACATAATATATTTATTTTCAGTAGGTTATATGAAATGACGAGTACAATAATTCAGTAGATCAGTATTATGAAAATCAAGAAATCTATTGAAAATTTAGTAGAACTGGCAACCCTGCAGAGGACGAAAAGTGTTTGCAGACGAGAAGTTAGTGTTTGCGGACGAAAAGTACTTGCCTTCGGAAATGGTCGGGTTTCCGCGGGTTTCCGCGGGTTTCCGCTCGGGTTTCCGTTTGGAAATTAGAAACTTAAATGTGATTTTTTGTAGAGGTCGTGGAAAAGTTTTTATTTGCTATATACCTACCTATTTTGAATTAAAATCTCTGTGATCTTAATAAAAACTTTCCAAACATATATTAATACCTAGCTAAAGAATGAGAAATTTCGTGAGAAACCTTGATGGTGCTGGAAAATAAAAAAATCACGCTCTATGGAAAGGTAACGAAGCGTTTGTGGTCACATATTATTTTGACCTGAAAAATATAAGTCCCTAAATTCTTGAAACTGAATTTTGAACAACCCTGTATACCTATTCAGAGAATTATCATTCAAAATTGCAGATTATGGGTATTTTGAAAAATATTAAGTGTGATATATCGGCGAATTGGAAAAAATATAAGGTTCTAGATAATTGAAATAAAAACAAAAAAAAAGCATGGGGCTGCACTGTGGAAAATTATGGTGTAGTTTGTTCGAGTTTGTTTGACAGAAAATAGGTTTGGATTGGGTCCTACTTGGTCTCACTGAATTTTTGGAGAGCTTTTCCTTTTCGTTCCCATAGGTAGAGACTCGGGTAGAGATATATATATATATATATATGGCATTTTTCCTAGCGGATTTTTTTTTATAATAACTGATAACTATGTGGAATTTCGAAGAAAAAATCAAAACGTAAAATCTCAAAAATGAGTGTCATTTGGTTTTCTTCTACAAAAAAAAAAGAAAATTTGATCGATAATGAAAAATACGCCAGGACTCAGGAGAAAAACAAGAAACAGCAAAGATACCTAGTATATATTCATACTGATGTAGATATTAGGATATTATAGTCGCTACTTTATTCTCGACTTTAGTCAACCAAAAATTCTGAAATGTTTATGAAAAATTTACATCTGGCTAGACCTAACTTTATAAATAAACATACTATAGGCATATACTCGCACTCACCTATATATAATTCAAAGATGGATATTGAGGAACAGTATGAAATGTATTGAATTCGGCACTCCCAAGCACACAAATCCCTGTCAAACCAGAACAAAGAAGAATCTTCCACCCTCTAGTAAGGGTTACAAAAGTATATATAACCACCTACAGTTTCACCCTCATATAACGCGAATTTGTCTTGGATCGACGAGATTTCTCACGCACTTCATCAGATCGTGTCGATAAGATGGACGTTCGTTGAATTTTGGAGATTTCTGGTTATTTTTGATTCAGGAAACAGAAAAAAAACGCCGACTAGAAATCGAAATAAGCGCGCAGCTCATCGCAGATGCCCTAGGAAGTATACGCGGACTCGGACAGCTGCATTATGATGCAAAGGCATAGTTGCCAGATGTATTGACTTATTGACTACAAAAATACCTAGATCGCAGAATGCTAAGAATTTCGATTTTGCGATAAATATTCGATGGTTTTAGCTAAAAAATAATCCACACTTTACAAGATTTCGGATAATACTTACCTGCCAAGAATTTCGAAAAGCTGAGTGCTAATAAGTTCACGAACCTCATATCATCAGCGTCTTCAAATTACAGTTCTGTTCTGAATATCAAAGTTCAGAAGACCGAGATTCTCCATAAACTAAAGAAGATATCGACATTTTGAGCACTTCACGGTTTCTAATATATTTGTTTCGATCGATCTTCCTCTATTTTTCTTAAATTTTTGTTTCAGTTATCATCAACTTCGAATGTACCTGGCTTACCGGTGTCTCAGACTCAATTAAAAAAGAAGTAAATTATTAGTAACTAAAGTGAGTGTAACTGTTATCAGTAATCTCCAAAGTGATGGAGAAAGCCATCAATATTGAGCTTATCAAATATTTGGAGAGCTCAGGATTCATCAATGATAGACAATACGGCTTTCGCCACCAAAGATCTACTGGAGATCTACTTGCCTACGTCACCCATTAATGGCAAGCTTTATGAGAAAAACACGGGGAATCTCTAGCTGTCGAGCTAGACATATCGAAAGTATTCGACCGTGTTTGGCACGAAGGACTCCTCCACAAACTACCATCATACGGCTTATTACCACCTCAGCTATGCCATCTCTTATCGAGTTTTCTTTCAGGCAGATCGCTTCACGTGGTGGTGGACGGTGTATCGTCTGATACCATAGGCATCAATTCCCGCGTTCCACAAGGATCAATATTGGCACCAACATTATTCCTTCTTCATATCAATGATCTGTTGGAAGTAACAACTTGCCACATCCACAGCTTTGCAGATGATAGTACCCTCTCCATACTGCGTTCTCTTCCAGAATTCCCATTTCTTTCCATGGAACTAAGAACTCACGGCGCAGGCAGGTCAATGATGTCAATGGAGACCTTGCTGGAATCACAGCCTGGGGAACCAACAACCTAGTTGAATTCAACGCCACCAAAACTCAAGCCTGTATTTTCTCTAGAAAGGCGGAACTCAGTATGCCCGATATTGTAATGTCTGGCACCACCATCCCCACCAAGCTCACCATATCTATGCTCGTTATTTCCATCAGCAAGATCCATCGCAAAAAAATATATTATTCTTTTGAGTTAACATACAAAGCCTACTATTCAAACATTCAAACGTCAAAACCATCAAATATCGTCATTATCCAAGTGATTTTTCAATAATATTTCAGTGTAAATTCTTCGCACCGAATACCTCTTTAGCTTCAATTGATATCCGGGAATTTCCGGAAATAATTGAAGCTCTCATGATATTATAAGTGAAATTTCCACACCTTCAATGAATTAAAAATCTACATTTTTTATTGGCCATAGCAACTAAACGAGTTTCCGGAAATTTTTTCCTCCTTGGGAGAAGGAGCATGAAATCAGACTGGACATTTTTTGACGTTTATAGGTAAACTGACCTTGACATTTAATTTCAGATTATGTCGAATTATTTCTATAGGTTGATAATTTCTTTGCAATAATTATAGATATCTACCAACTTCAGCTAATCGGATTTGTGAAAAACTGAAAGATTGAGCTATTATCGATCGACTTATTTCTTAGTTAAAATGGGTTCTCCGTCAAATCTGTAAATCTGACAACTATGAGGAAATAGTAACGCATGCGTTGCGTTCTATGGGTTATGATTGTTATGCTTGGGAGGTTGGCCAATGGAACCGTTAAAATTACGCACGCGGTTGAATGGGAAAATAGACCGATGTGTATACAGAGCGTTCGGTACTTTTGGGTACTTCGAATAGGTGAGTATGAGGTCATGAAATTCAAAAATTGAATAGTCAGGAATATTAGATCACAATGATAAAACGATGACACCTGTCTAGTGTGGAGAAATTGACTCTTATTATTATCCAAATACTACTATTTATAGTCAAGCTATTCAGAAGAAACACAAATAAACGAATTTCATGGAAATAGGTAATCCAAGAAAAATTGTCTATTTCGAGTTTTTTCGCATAATTGCTTGAAAATAAGCAAATTAGTATATTATTTTATCGCTTGGTGTGCACCAAAGCGAATCCCTATAATGTTCGAAGAACATCGTGCGTACCTAGGGAGGATAGGGAGAGCACATGCCTATATAGGTGTTAGAATTAGTGTTGAACTTTTGGAGATTATAATTTCTTGGAAATACTTCCTCAGGCAAAGAATTCCAGTGCTTTCTCGCGTTCTATAAAGAAACGAGTTTTGTATTCAGTATTTCAGATACGATTGAACTCCCAATTTTTGTCAGTATTCTTTCTAATTCGCCGACATGAAAGTGATCATTTTTTGACGACTGTCAAAATCATTTCTGATTTTTTAGATTGTCAGAAATGTATGTTTTGATCAACAATATTTCTTACAATTATTATCCAATAATGAACAATTTTTCCCACATGATTTATTTAATGACGAACAATTTTATAAGTGTCAGTTTCTTGAATATCACAATATGAATGATTATTTATTTTATTGTCAGGAAAATGAAAAATCTCATTGGCAAA